TCCCAGACACGTTCTTCCCATTTTCTTTTCACTTTTAAAAGTTTACGGAAATTTAAGAGGTTTTTTTAAAAATGTTCATTAAAGAAGCGTGTTTTAATGATAAGACTGGCTCCGATCGATCCGATCGACTCCCTCCTCAGAAACGGTGATTTTCGGTCAAAACATCAGTTTTGAGATAAGCACATGGAAAGATAGCCTGTAGTGTCTCCTTTCAGACTCTGTATCGCTTTTGGTTACAAAAGTGGTTTTTCGCGGCCTGTGAGCAAATTTTCTAGGAGCCTCGAAAAACCGGGTCTTCAAATAATAGCTTTTTGGACCTTGATCTCTAGAAAACTCCGGAACGGTAAGACTTGGAGGCAAAAAAAAGTTTTTCAATCCCGTAAGTCATTAAGCCAAACATTTATGGAAAGTTTCGTCAAGATCGGATGTACGGTGTCGGAGATCATTTCTGAAGGGGGGGACTCTTAAACAGTTAGGTTTTTAAAAATAGACCCAGCAATTAAATTTTTCCTAAAATTTTATCTTAATTAATTTATAACTCTGTGAATACTTATCGGCTCTTCGAAAACAATGCAGGATATATGCAGTCAAGTATTCTTTACAATCTGAGAAGGTTTAATAGTACCTTTTGTGGGGGTTCAACCCCCCTTAAAATAAGTTTATCCTGTAGATTTTCAGCTTATTAAATTGTTCCCTTTTCACTTACTCTCACTACTCTCGCCTTGCTCCCCGGTGAGAAAAGCAGAATCTATTCGATTTTGCTGATTGCAACAAACATCATGTTGATAAGCGTCAAACATCAGTCGCTCAAACGTCGGCTGACGACTTTCAAGAGAAAAAATGAAAATCTATTATATGTAACACCGGCACGACATATCCTTTGTTTAGTCTATTTTTTCCACCGTATTTAGCTTTTTCGTATTCGTTTTCTTTAACCGTATATTCCGCTATTTTATTCAAATGAATACAATATAGCCATAAGCAGTTCAAAAATTTTCAAAAACTTACGCTGATTTTTGCGTGATACACTATAATTTATAAAAATGTGTTCGTGATTGTTGGATACTCAACACTGTCTCTTAACAAAGTATTATGGCAGATATGGTTTTGACATCAAGATTTCATCCGTGACACATCTCTCAGTTGCATGCTCCTCATTTATTTTTCTTATTACATCACGCCTCCTTTCTTTTTCCTCTCATCCTTCAGCGCTTATATGCGTCAGAGTCGGCTTTGTTATTCTTTAATTTTTATCGGCTTTTGATGGATACACATTGCGGGTGTAATCAGCAGAGGTTCAACACAAGTGGGTGGACAACTATAATCAAACGTAACTAAAAGAATTATGAATCATACAATGTCCAAAATGTTAGTGATTACTTGGTTGGACAAAATTCATTTTCCAGATGGTACACTAAAGGCTCGAACCTCTGAGGTGATATAAAAGGCCTCAAATGCTTCGGTGGAATAGACGCCGCTGTTATCGAAGGATGAGACAAAATAATGACTAGCAAATAAAGAACTATTATGAACTGAGTCAAATTTTATACAACTGTATAAGCAACGTTTCGAATACCTAACACCAAATTAAAACGACCATGATCTATTTTTTTAGCTCCATTCAATGTCTTACGAGGAAAGTACCCCAACTGATAAATCGCTTTTTCAACGGAACCGAGTGGACTATAGGTAGTCGACGATGCTGATTCCGAATATCACCATGCATGCTGATGTAAAATAACTAAATGTTCATTGTCACCTCAGAGCTACAGAAAGAAAAACGAAAAATGAATTTAGGGCTTTCTTGTAAACTCTATAACTTTGCAAAGAAAGGTCGTGTAAAGCTGGGGGATGCCTCGTTTTAATCAGAAATTTATGGACTACAATTAAGCCTCATTAAGAAAGCTTTTGATTGTTGTTTAGAGTTTCTCGAAAACTGCTTTTCCAGAAGACCGGTCTTTGAAGGCCCAGCAGCAGCATGCATGGTGATATTCGGAATCAGCATCGTCGACTACCTATAGTCCACTCGGTTCCGTTGAAAAAGCGATTTATTAGTTGGGGTACTTCCCTCGTTAGTAATAAATGATGTTTTGACGATCTCTATTCATGACGTTCATAAACAGTGCATATAAATTAGTTAGTTAATATTATAAAGCAATTATAAAATTATTGAAAGACGTCGATTATTTATAAATCTCTATATCTTTGTCAATTTAATAGTTAAATTCATCAATATAACTTATTTCCAAATAGGATTTTAGAGCAAAAAAAACGTATTACAATATTATATTTATGAATTATCATAAGAAATTGGTTAGTCTTCTGATTAAAATACACCAGTTATTTTATCACTTGTAGACTATTATTTGGTATTTGATCTCTATTATTGCATATTTCAGCACATCTTTATTACCAGGTTAAAGAATATTTGTCTCATTCTACATGTAAATCATATTTAGGATTTAGCGGACATTCAGTTGCTAATGGTGGTGTATTGTAATATGACAGTATTATTTTGTGATTATAGAAAATGCTGATTTTTTCATCATCAAATTAATACAGTGATATATACATTAGAAGCGTATAGAGCACTTGGAAATGGAATAAAACCTGTTAACCCTAATAATCAAAGTACGTGTTATAATATACACGGTCCGAAAAAAGCGATATCTATGCAAAATAGATAAAGTATCTCATTTTAAAAATATAGGCACAGTAAATCCATTCTATTTCAGTAATTAACTAGGTACAGCAAAAATCAAAGTGTCTAGCCTCCATCGTGAGGTTCGAATGGCTCAGAAATACTAAATATTCAATCCTTCAGCCACAACACCAAAGTGGATCATTTATCAAAGCGTAGAAAAATGAAAAGATTAGTCAAACATCACTTAAAACAATCATCACTCTTAGTCAAGTATTTCACCCTGTGCCAAGCTAACTTTCTGTCCATAACCGTACCTGATTACTAGCGCAAAAAACAGAAGACTGCTCTCTAAAAAAATCCGTAGCTTACAAAACGAATATTGGTTTTGGCATTTACTTCTAATAGAAACGGATATCCGTATCGTACAGTCCTGCTTAACCGTTTCATAGAATACGTAGGTGAAGAAACGGATTTTGGTTTTGTACCAGAGAAAAAAACGTTCAAGAGTATTCTGCGAAACGTTTAAGCAGGACTGTACGATATACTTTCTACAGAATAGAGAAAAAAAATAAAAACGAAACGGACTAACCTGTTTTTTGACATATCTTTTACGAGAGTTTATTTGATAGGTAACATCTGATAACGAGACGGACAGCTAATATTTGATTTGAAAAGAAGTATATACAATCAAGTGTTCTCTACTCGATTCAGCCAAGAATGAAATCAATAAAGTGTTTTAAGCTGGTGTAAGATCGCTTCGAAAAAGAGCTCCAAAAGAAATCATACGTTCAAAGTCAAATTTTTATTCTTTTTAAAGCTGATATTCGCCATCAGCGTGAAAAACTGCATCTAACAATGTATTTTTAAGGGTTACCTTACGTTAGAGAAAAAGTCTCCTCATACTCAATAACTCTGGGAAACGTTTACGTGAACAGGTTCTTCTGTAACTCAAGAACTATGATTGCCAATTTGTGTGGTGATATGTCTCACTGAATGCTGATTGCTGAGCAAGTTTGATTGGATGGTCTGGTAGATTCAAGCGTTCCATTTCTTTTCTGTATGTGTTTCTCTTCATTGAACAACAATTCATAACTCTAAACTGACCGAGAAAAATATTTGATTTGAAATTTTGACTGAAAATTGAAAGATTTAATTTTCAAAAAAGTATGGACTTGCAGTACAACCCATGCAGATGAAAAAAGTCGTTCGAGGATTGTGGCGAGTGCTAGGAAATAGGCTCTCGCCAAGAGCTCGACCCCTCGGAAAATGGCACTTCCGACCCTCGATATAAGCTTTTGTGGGGTATCGATTTCGAGCCCTCGAATTTCAGATGTCCAGAACGTCCCAGCCCTCGCTCTTTCGAGGGCTCGGAAGTCCCCGGAATCCCACGAGGGCTCGAAAATACCCCCTCGAAAGCTTATATCGAGGGTCGAAGTGCCATTTTCCGAGGGCTCAAGCCCTCGGCGAAGGCCCATCGAAAGCATATTTCCGAGCACTCCAAGTATCTCTCGAGCAACTGGTTGGGAATAGACGTGTTACATGAGAAAGTAGGCCTAGGTCAGTTTCTATACACACATGACATCCTATTGAGCTGGAATCCTGGTCTTAATTGGTTTGAACTATGATCTTTCATTTGATTCACTTAGCTTTTTTCGTGCAGAAGTGGGGTTTCTAGAAAACCATTGTTTTTCGCATATCTGGATACAGAAAAACTTTTTTCTAGGAAAATGTTGTTGTTTTAAAAGATTTTTTAGATGGTCATCCTATTCAGAACAGAATGGGCTACATTTTTAAAAATTTCAAGCCTTCAGCGTAAAGTTAAAATTTTTAATTAAAATTTTAATTTTTAAAGATCTCACTTTCATTAAAATTTAAATAACTTAGCACAGGTAAGTGCCATAAGCTTAAAAACTACAAGCAAAACGGCTGGTTCAATACATCATTCTCTCAAACATTTGGTATCATCTAGACCTCCATCTTCAACTCAAATAATGACCATATCTGAAACGGTGTCTACATCAAAAGATAAATTAACAAAAACAACGCATACAAAGAAAAAACAATAGTAACAACGGATAATAGATCAACCATCGAATGATGATATGAATGGGAGTTCATCGAGGTAATAATGATAATTACAGAAACTAAAATGCTAGTAGGATGGTATCTACTTTATAGAAGAATTTTACATATTTTGCTTCATTCACATCTCTGTCGAAAGTCTGTTGTCTTTTAGTTTATTGTCTATCACAGCAGTATCGAATTCTCCATCACGGTCAGACTCATCTTTAACTCGTCTTCATCAACAGCCACGTCAAATACGGTCTTTCCTCGTCAAACAAATAATCATTCAATAATGGTGTTGGCGAGTGATACTTATCCATCAAGAATGCATCGCGAACGAACAATCGATTCGAAATGTTCACGATCATTTTTCTATTTCTATTTACATTATTTTAATTCGAGTTTAATTAAAATTGATTTAAATTTGAAATCATTCGATTTATGTATTGAAAATCATTTTATCTATGCTCTGCTGGATGTATTTAGTCATTTATTACCATTAAATTTGAGACTAGCTGAACATGAAGAACAACGAATAATAATAGTTGAATATACTGATGATCGTCTATCACATTATCTGTTTATTTGTGAAACTCTAATCATTGCCGTTGTCGATGTGACACTAAGTATTCATGCACAAATGAAAATGTGTATTGGATGTAACCAATTGCCGATGTTTATCGATAAATTTTAACGAAAATACTTATATGTGACACGAAAACAAATTTTATTATTGTTGACAAGACATTATCTATTGTCATTACTATCACGAACACCATGGCTATTAGGTTCATTTGATCTCTTAGGTAAGAACGTAAACAATTGTATATTGAATTATAGATTATTTATTATCTAATTGTCATATTATTAAGACAACTACCTCCCTTTTTGAATATGACTCTTAAAAAGACACTTTAAATTAGAGATATGCACGGGTACCATTTTCGTACCCGTACCCGACCCGAAATTTTTTCCCACACGTATTCGTAACTGCTCTACCCGTACCCGACAACTTCATACCCGTATCTAACCTTCGGGTCGGATTGGGTTGCACATTACTACTTTAAATCCCTTCCTTCGTCTCGCATACATGTCAGTCCATACTGAGATGAACATGTGTACGAATAGCTTAGTCTATATTATTTGCTCTTAGAATCCGTATTGTTTTTAACGATATTTGAAGCTTCTGATGGTTTTAAGTTTTATTGTCAATAGCTTTTTTAAAATCGTCTGACTTCAGTCAGATGTTTTTTACAGTTCTTCTTTTCTCTCTCTCTGGTATCAGAATAACTTTTTTTTTCTTCTCTTTTTTTAAACTTTAACTCTCATCTCTCCAGTCCAATGGCACTGAAATCGGGTTACCCCATTGCATCTGTGTCCAAAGGTACCGACACAATGAGCATTAGATAGCTTGTCCAAGACTGTCACGCGATCGTCATTGCCGAGATTCGAACTTCGTATGTTTGAAGTACGTTGTCTGCCCACTAGCTGACTGAGTCACGTTTTGTTATGAAACGAGATGCGTTGAAAACAACCAACAAGTCCTACTGCATGCCAGAACCGACGAAATATTGGATAAATTAGTTACTTCATTTGTTTGCTAATGATACAATAAATTATTAGAGTACATCAACATAATTATTAGGAGCTGCATCTAAATAGCAACGAATGTAGTATTTTGTACAACGGGAATTAACATTCTCCGACTTTTCCACATACGGATTAGTCGACCATTTTCTGCTTTTTTGAAAAGTCTGATTTTCAACAACCTTAGGATTTCGTGGATGTCCCATACTGAGATAGGATGCTTTTCAAAAGAAATATGCGAGAGAGAACAATGATTCCGCTTTGATTTTCTCTTTTTTAAGGAAATTGAGCGGTTTATCGGCCAAACTCCGTTGTACCGAAAATTAAGAAGCGTCGCTAAAGAAGTAAACAATATACATTGCCGTTTCCGATCGAGAGTATTTAATAGAAAATAGAAAATTCACATTCTCAAGTTTCTTTTGAAATACACTACAATTTCATACATACAAACAAGGAATTGAACAAACATTCACAAATTAGAAAATATTGAAATATTAATATTATCAATGCTAATGTCAGAAGTATAGATAGACTGTCAGAATAAATGAGACCCTCGATCGAGAAATTTCGAAAGTAGTAAGTTATGTTATGTAAGGATTGTAAATCTTTTCATAAGTATAACCGTTGTTATACATGTCACTCCTTTCTTCGACAGATGTAACACTTTCTCAGGAACATTCTAGACATCTTTTTCACCCAGTCCCGGGAAGTTCTCATCCTGAATTATTCTCCAATACGTTTAAAAACTGTATATAAAAGTTTGTTTTCTCAGTGTATATTATCAATAGTTGTTATGAAGTTATCTTTGAAATAAAGATAGAAGAAGATAGTATTAGTTATAATCGATATGACATAGCAATACTGTTGTTAAATTATGTTGTGAACTGAGAACATCCGTTGTATAATATTGATAATTCAGTCTACTTAGAAAGTTTAGTTGGTAACTCAAAATTAGGTGAAAGACACACACTGTTCCTTATCATATTCATATAAAATTCAAGTCTATTGTATATTTAAAAGATGATAACAACGTCCATGGGAATTATTTAATACCTGTTTATCGAGGTTTCCTCTGAAGATATTATATTAAATCTAATATTGATAGCAGCTCAAAATTAACAACAACACTTTCACAAAACTATTATTTAATTTTTGTGCAATATGAATTTTTCTTTTCGAAGAGCGCAAAAGCTCACCTTATTGTAGCAAGGAACATCTTATGTAAGAAATAGTTTTTACACCAAGATTTCATCCAAGGCATGTCATTCATCCACATACTCTTCAGTCATACCTTCTTTTTAGCAAATTTATTGAATTTATCTCTCTGAATATATACATTTGTCATATATACTTTTCCTAGTTATTTTTATAAAAAAAAGAGAAAGAGAAAAAAAAAGAAAACAATCAAAAATACGGACACATCGATAAATCCATAACAAAAAAATAATAATCTTCATCTTCATCTTCTTCTTCTTCTTCTGTATCTGTGTTCTCTTCTTTCACATTTGCAAGAAAATAAAAAACAAACAAAAACAGTTCTAACTGTGCTGTGACTAGAAAAATTACATAAAATAAATGGTCCACATCTTGCTCTTTCCACGTATTTACATAAGTTTTGAGGGAGTATTGATTTAGATAAATAGCGCAGATCTAAAACAATAAAAATATGAATGAATAGATCACTGTTTCGATAAAAAAATGGTTGGTCAACGATTGAACTTAACAAATGTAACAGCATAGACACATACATATACAAAATATGAATCGAGAGAACTACGAAGAAGAGAGAAAATAATAACAATAATAGACTCTCGCAGGTTTTTAAGTATCATTTTTGCTATCAGTTTCTGAAGTTTTGGTTGTTGCTGTTGTTGAAATTAGTCTGGATGAATCTGATGAAGTGAAATCATGTGGTGATGATGTGAAATGTTCTACACGACATCGACGAACAAAATCAGATTCCTCTGGAGATTCAGCACTGCCCATTGTAGTCACTAAAATGAACGTGTACCAAAATTAGTCAGTCATTTCAAAACCACTGAAAACTGGTCGGAGTCCAATTTTTTTACTTTTAAATCCTTTTCTTCTACATTAGAAGATCATCTCTAAGAACATCGTTCCAAACTGCACTGTACTTCATTGGTAGGAAACAGCTTTAGTAAAGGCAAACTATCTTGAGGATTGATTGATAGATACGATAAAAATAAGTGTTTTAAATACTTTCTCTAATTAAATCTGTTGCCTCATAGTTCTAGTTACTGTATTGTTTAGATAAAAGTAGTATTCTTGTAAAAACGAATAATTGATTATTTACCTGTGTTCATCGCATTTGGTAGTTCATTGACCGACTCTTTACTTCGTTTCTGTTGTAATACTCTTTCTGTGTCTAAGTTTAAATCTCGCAATATTCTACTACTGTTATCCATTTGGCTATAAATAGTTAAAGAAAATTAAACGAAACTTGACAAATTGTTTTGAGTGATGTTAATTTACCTTTGTGTTTGAACAATATTCATATAGGTTTGAATTTGTAGCATGGACGCATCAAGTAGATTGCGAACATTTCTTAAACATTGAATTCGGGCTTGAACATGTTGAACTTCTGTTCCCTCCATTGCACGAATACTTTCTTCAGACATACCAGAAAAATTTAGCGATGGAAGAATTGGTGGTGGAAATGCTAAAAAAAGCAACATACTTAGTCTTTACGAATGAACAATATTTTTATTTCTTCAAGAGTTTTTTTGACGTATATAATCTCAGCTGAGTAGAGAGAGGCTTTTTATATGTTCACACTTACCAAATGGAGGTAATATGGCTGGAAACGATCCAAACGGTATGGAAAATTGTTGTGATTGCTCAGTAGGATGATTTGTATTGCTTGTATTATTTAGATTAAATGAGGTAGGATTGACAGATGGAAGTGGCTGTGATCCATTGTGTTCTGCTTGCGCTAAAAAGAAACAAAATAAAAGTAGAGGACAAGTGCGCTACGCGAGGACCACAGTGACGCAAAGAGAATGCTCTTGGGAAATTGTTAGATCGTACGAATAGAAAAATTAACAACACGTAACACTACTTATTCAGTAGGAAAGATATAATCGCCTAACGTAATATAAACTTGTCAGAGATAGTATACTTTTTCAAAATTTTTCTCTATCATATGTTACTGTACTACTGCAAAATTAGACATTTCTGATTTTCTCAATTTTTGATTCATTTAAAAATGTAATTATCATCATTTTCGACCAGACATGTTCAACAGTTATCAAACTTGGTAAACTATTACAGCTACATTCATAGAGAAGCAATTAAGTAACTCTTTAAACTTAAACATTAAATTTTCCAAAGACACTCCTAGCAGATGATTTTCATAACACAGGATCTGTAAATGCTAAAAGTTTCATCAGTTTACAATCAGTTGTTCTTCCAAAGTTACGCAAAAGATATTGCTTTCAAAAACAATGACGTTGAAAAATGTCATTTAGTAATGTAATTTATATTTTGTATATGTAGTTCGGAAGAAGAAACACGAAAATACTTATTTCTTGCTGTAACAGTACATACCTCCGCCAGCTTGAACTCCACTTGGTGGCGGTTGACCATCTGCATTTGGTGGAGGCGTGGCACCTCCGGCAGCGGGCACTGCTTGAGCACCGACTGGAACTTGTCTTGGAGTTCCAAGTAGCTGAGCACCGAGTGGCCGTAATACAGTTGTACGACATATGGGACCTGAAATAGTACTTTATACGTTTAGAGGATAATATTAAAATTTCATATTTTATTAGTTACATGTTTGTTGTCGTTGAAACCATGACCGAAGACAGTTTTTATGAAATATATGTTGACAACCTAAACGTTTGATACTTTGTTGAACTAACATTTCTTCTCGGCAGATAATACAAGTTGTATCAGTAACTGCTGCCAACTCTTCAGCATTCAAATCAGGATATAAGGTATTTAAGCTTCGAATAGCACGTCGAGATTCAATAACATCGGCACATGATTTACGGAATGCTCTGAACAACAAAATGTATCAAAAAATAGTCAATGAGAAAATATTCGTTAGCACTGAACATTCTCCTCAGATGAGCGTAAATTTAAGTACCGAAAAAGATCTGTACATGATTATGTCCATACCTCATTGCAATAAACATGGGTCTAATTGCAAATAATGGAAATGTATGAATTTTCATCATAATCAACATAAATATCATATATAAAAGTGATCGAAAAAATCCAAGTATTAAATCAGCGTACAACATAAATACACCCTTGTTTTCCCATTGGTCACCTATGCGAATTTCAATTGAATGTAATAAATATTTCGTACCTGTAGATAAGACAGATACAAGTAATATGGCATACTAAAAACAATAAAAAAAAATTAAAGATCACATATCTTGCAAGTAGGATGACAATCATTTGATCATTCGTACTACCTCAAACCCAAATACAATTTGAACAGATGCACCCTTGGCTAACGTATGAGAATAAGCTGTTGTTATAAAAATATAATCGAATATGAGCAATAAACTCAACAGACCTAATAAAATAGACGTAGACACACATACATCGATACATGTTATTGTTATTCGCAGAACATTTACTTATAATTCGCCCATGAAAAATTGGACCAAGTACGGGGCTTTGTTCCATCTAAAACAACATAAATTCTCTTAGTAACATTAGTCCTCATAAAAAGAAATGTACTGACGTAATCCACACGATCTTCTAATAACCAATGAAAACATTTAAGAAATAATAAAATGGCACAAAATCCAACAAAACGTGAACTGAAATCATCACGGAATACCGTGAATGCCAAACACGTTTCAGTAACTGAAAACCATGTTCGATCGTACAGATGCTAAACAAAGAAGACTCGAGCGTATTGTATGAGAGTGTATGAAATGATAAACACGCTTACTTCAGTCTCAATTGCTCTCAGTTGTCCGAGAAATATTCGTTGTACAAGTTTGCCAGCAAGTATTACAAAAACAAAGGCTTGTACATATAAAACCTAAAATCAACATAAATCTCTTATAAGTTAGTAACAGTAACTCAATAAAAAAAGAATACCAACAGCTAAACTTGTACTTGATTTTGTTAAGTAAACCACAGATGGATAAAATTGACGTTTTATATAGAATGCATTACAAACAACAGCAAATGTTAGGGCAAAACTCAGCACAACAAGATATTGAGCTTTCATCATCAACATGTAATTAGCAGTTGCAATATTTTCCTGAAATGAAAAAATAGAACAGTAAAGGAAAGGACTGTTTGCTGCGTTGCACTAAAAATTTTGGCTTAAATTCTCGCTGATGACTGAGATACATAAATGCAAAAGAGTCCTTGTTTAAGTGGGCAATTCATTTTAAAATTAAAGCATAGAAATATCAGAGAAACTAAAAAGCGGAAGAGATGACAAGGTGAAAATGGAAAAATAGCGGCAGTTTTCAATAAAACTTAGTAACCTCGCCTACTTGTTTTTCGTTATAGACCTATATCTTGACGCAGCAACCCTAACGTAAAGTTGTGTTAGAGTATTTCAGTGTAAAGTAAGTAATAATAATTAAAAATCCACGTTTCCAACTGGCTAACGTAAACACATCCACCAATTAGCGATTCACGGGAGCTCATATGCTATTTGATGCATCAACTACTACTAAAATTTACTATCTGATTCCCACCAAAGAATACTGGCACAAGCGTTAGTGTATTCTTAAATCAATTTATTCGTAGTTGTAATTTTTGTTATCTCATTTACTCTCAGGAAATCAGAGGCCTGATTTTCTTTTGTCGCACTACTTCATCATTAGTTCATTATCGCTGTCCATATACTATCGCCATCTCTAAAAGTTTTCTATCTGTTGAGAAATGTGCCATTCTGAGACACTACAGGTGACTCATTCTTCATCTTGAACATTTTAATTAAAATTCTTTGAAAGTTAACTAACTAGAAATATAGCCAATAAGCAAATATATCTTCGCTTTGTGCGCTACATTCGAAAACAAATCCAAATGCGTCAAATGTTTGCTTGTTTCCTCATTTTTCACAAATTATGGAACAAGAGACAGAATCTAGAGGAAGTGACTGGATTTAGTTTTCAGTGAACGAACGTTCAGTAGGATATGCCCTGTTTTCAATTTCATTATATGCAAGCGAAACACATACAAGAGGAACATCTTTTTTCCGTTTTTCTATACGTCAACGTATTGAATGGCCGCATAGGATATGCCTTATAAAAACAGATATTTGGTTATTAAGGAATGAAGAATTTTGTTACAAATCCCTTGGGAATTTTTTATGGGATTCTTAACTATAGTTTGCTGTGTCGCTAATTTCTGTACAAATACTTTGAGCAATGACGTGCAGAATACTATCTTTCTTTAAAATGTCAGATGTTTCTAGGTTTGAATTTCAAAATTGGTACAAGAGCTCTTATTTTTTTCGAAATTAGTCTCATCGTTTAAGAACTATCTCTTGCAGTTCAAACGTTTGTACAGTTAGCAGTATTTTTTCGAAGTGGTCTATTATTCACTGTTTTACGTGCTTTATCCGTATGAAATTTAATTTGAATTGTTCGTGTATTGCTTTGTTTCATTTTAGATTTTACCTCTTTATAGTGTTTGTTGTTTATCAAACACATTTTTCGCTGTAATTTCTTTACATTTTGAGTTGTTGATGGCTCGGCGATGTTCAGAACAAATGCCTAGTGTTTCTTCAATATTGAATGAAAATATTGCTACTAATATTGGTAGTGTTGATAATATTAATCAGCAAGGAACGTCGTCTCATCAACATTGTTTTCGTTGTGATGTCGATATTGCAGCAGATTTTACAAGTGGAGGACGTATAAGAATATTGTGTCCGTTTTGTGGAAGTTTTCTTAGTGGGCAAACACCGTATGATATGCGACTTAAAGTATCCAGCGAAGTACGTTCGTTAAAAACATTTATTATCATACCTTTTTATGAAGGATCTGTTTCAGAATTCACGGGAAGGAACGTAAAGTCCAAACGTTATACTAAAGAATGATACATAAGCATTTTCAGAGTAATAAACTAGAGTTGATTCGTCAAATTAGCTCATTATCATCGCTCACTTTAAGAACTATAACTATATTTCCGTTTTTTTATCTAGGCTGGTGGTATTCAACATTTACCTAGTATGACTCTTCGTTCTCGATTTTCTCGAACATTCAATCGTGTATTAAAACGAACAAATTTAAATAACAATAGTATAACTATTAATGGTCGAAAAAGGATGGAAATTCCTTTACCATCAGCGGTTAGTAAATAGTCGATTGACCAGATAAAAATCTACGATTTATTTGGTAAATGTTTTTTTAATGAAATCTATGTTATTCTAAGGACAATGCTACAATCCAAAAATTCAACAGTAATACAATAGGAACAACACACTCATCTTTCAAGGTCTATCAACATGACGAATTCAAGTAAGAACTATTTCTGTAATTTATCATTCAATTCTTTCGTGTGTGTTTTAGATGTTTAGTTGTATCAGCGATTATGGAAGACATGACAGCGTTTTACACTAATTTTTACTCGAATTTTGATTATATGAAACAAGTACTTACACTGGTAATATTATTATAAAATGTTTAATTAATCGACTAGTATTCAGCTGTTATATTTACAATGAAATGAATGTTTTCAAATGATGTCTGTATCTTCTTTTAGACTGATAATGAACAAAAATCTTCATTGAATTGGCAATATTTAGAAACGATACACGATTATCTTTCACACGCAGTAAGTCAATAAATGTTTATTCTTGACAAACTTTTATATTTGGTTTTTCTATTCATAACAGCCTGTTCAAATAGTTCGTTCAGCACTCAAAACAATTGCCTCTAGTTGTATCAAAGAAATTCGGTACGTATGTTGCAACGTTTATACTATCTTCTGATAAGTATCTTTTTTAGACCATGTCTTTTAAATCAAAATCATCAAGATGGGTATAAAGAACTCATCGTGTCTGTTTTGATTAATGATCTGCTAAATTGTTTTATTTTAGTGAATGTAATAATGCACTCAAAGGCTATATCGTATTTGTATTAGTACGTATTATTGTTTTTTCTTTTTATATATGAAACGTACAGTTTTACTGTTTTAGAGCCCATTATTTGACGAATCATGCTCGCACCATATATTTGCTCATATATTTCGTCGAATAGCTAACTTTGGTGATCGAGAACATCATCAAATTATTTCATTTTTACAAACGTAAGTGGTTGTGTAGTTTTCAAGAATATGCAAAATTGTAGTAAAATTCTGTCATTTATGTTACTTTAGTTTACCGGTAGAGATGTTTCGATCAGCTGTTAATCGTATTCAAAAATTTATTTCTCTTAATGTATTTTGTCCAAAATTACATTCTATTCAACTTCAAGTCAACGGATGGTGGATACCATCGAGCGTTCGAACGCTAGCTTTATTCAGTAAGTTTATTTTTTGACTCTACCCTTCGTTGATTAATACTTATATTGTTCTCGAACAGTTAGTTCTATTAATCTCGTCAAAATATGTGTGGTCATATCTTTTTTTGTAATTGAAGTCAGTTTCCTATTAGACATTGTTAATGAACTGAAACTCAAATTTAAGACCGATAATGAATTCTATATCAGAAATTTAGATGGTATTGACACTGAATGTTGATGTAGTTTGTGAATAAATGATTATCTTTTAAATTGTACTTGTAGTGAAAAATATAATTTTCTTTTTTGTACAGTTTTTTATATAGTTGTATCGTATATTTTTATAGATGCAGCTAATGAAGCATTGAAAAAACGTAAAATTCCATACAATGAGTTTGCCATAACAACACTAAACTATGTTGACATTGAAAGAGACTACGCAAATTGGCAACGAAAATCAGTTGCTTTTAATAGCGGGTAGACTATTCGATGTTGTTTAATAGGTGTTTAATGTTGTATTTCTGCTTTTGGTGTAATATTCACAGTTAACATGATTATAAGTGTTTTTTTGTTCTCTATTTAGTTTTACATTTTGTCAATATCCATTTGTTTTGAGCGTTAATGCAAAACGTACAATACTTAAACGAGATTCAGAACAACAAATGATTCTAACAGCAAGAGTAATGTTCTGTTAATTTTCTGACAATTAATTTTCGAATTATAACAGATTTGATTCACCCGTTAATTATGGTCATTATACATCTTTTAGCTAAGTATGATTCAAAAATTTCGCAATAAACAAGCTCCCAATCTTGGCATGTTATTTTTAAATTTGTATGTTCGACGTTCAAATTTGGTTGCCGATTCATTAGAAGAAGTAAAATTTTTATAATATTTTAATGGCTGTTATATTCTATTTGTTTTTTTTCGTACCATCAGGTGGCAAAGAAACGTGATGATTTAAAAAAAAAATTACGTGTAACGTTTATCGGAGAAGTTGGCCTAGACATGGGAGGACTTACGAAAGAATGGTTTTTGTTAATTATTCGAAATATATTTCTGCCTGATTATGGTATGTAGGATATGTAGGAGCAGTTTTATTCATAATAGATCGAATTATTATTTGTCTTTAGGTATGTTTACCTATTATGAATCATCCAATGTATATTGGTTCAATGCAGCAGCTGTTAATAATGTCAAAGAATATAATCTTATTGGAGTTGTACGTTCAAAGAATTTCATAATCTCTATATTTTTGTTAATCGGGTTAAGCGAGTGTTACGTTTTGTCCGCAATCCTTTTCATTTTTTTCGAAAATATGAAATCACAAGTTCACTAATAATGTCATCGTTTTTCTCCCATTTTCTCTTGACTCTATTGAGTTGCTACTTCTCATCAGTTCTTATTTTAACAAGAGATTGATATCACCTACGCTCGCTGTCGGTAAACGAATCTTTTAAAAGATAATAGAGAAGTCAGGGAGTTGATCTTTACGTTATTTTGGATTTTAGCTATCCAGATCTGATCTGGAAGTTTGAACTTCTACGATTAAGTCGTTTTGGAGTTATAGTCCAAATCGAAGATGTTTACGTAAAAGAATCCTTGTTCTGAAAATGCATTCAAGAAACATTAAAATTTCTACCCATCCAAACACTTTCGAAAATAAAGTTTAAAACAAACTTTGTAACTGATAGTTCAAGATATGAAATGAAAAATGCTTTCTTAAAAACTTCCGTTTAGTACTAAGATAATACAAAGAGTGCGTTCGATACCCTGTGGAATATCTCAAAAGATTTTCTATTTTTCAATCAATTAGATATTTAAAGAAAAAATTTTGAGGCGAATTTCATACACGATAAATCAGTGAATAAATCAAAAATGTTGAAAAACGCATCTCACTAAGGCATCATTTTACGTGCGCAAACTCTAATATTCTTTTACTATTCTTTAGCTTATGGGATTGGCTGTTTATAATACAACACTATTAGACATACGATTTCCAATTGTCTGTTACAAAAAATTATTAAATCCAGCATTTTTGCCACTTATTGAGCAGAATCAAAAATTGAAAGTGGGTTATGTCAAACCAACATTAGCTAATTTTCAAACAATACGGCCAGTGAGTATGTTGTCACTTTAAGATAGATCAACACTTTATTAATACCCACATTTCTAAAGTTTTGAGAATAATCTATTTTTTTTACACTAGGACATGGTGAATAGTTTACAACAATTATTAGACTATGATGAAAATGTTGAAAGAGATTTTTGTTTAATGTTCGAAGTAAATTAAAAAACGACGCTTTCTTACACATAGTATCTAATTCTTTTCTATTTTTTTTTGTCAAAGGTGGCTGTATCCGAATACGGTTCTCTTGTTATGTATCCATTAAAAGAAAATGGATCCAACATTCCAGTGACAAATGAGAATCGTCAAGAATATGTTGAATTATTAATTGATTATTATTTAAATAAAAGTATTTTAAAACAATTTGAAGCATTTTATCATGGTTTTCATTCTGTATGCGCATCAAATGCATTACTTGTACGTTATTATTTTATATACGAATACGATTATTATCAAGAGTTTTTTTTTCTCTTTTTTCTGATGTAGTTGTTAATTCCAGAAGAATTAGAAGTACTCATCTGTGGTGCACAAGAATGTGATTTAACCGATTTGGCAAAAATAACAACATATGACAATTGTCGATCAGATGAGAATTTTATTAAGTATGTGTGTATGGCTTGCCATTTTGTCATATCTATGTGAAAAAGTTGATAGTCTTCACGCTAAGAAATATTTTCTAATCGTAAAATTTACAAGAAACGTACCGGTTCAGCTAGAATACTAGTTAATTTGTCGCTTTTTGCTGCTGTGAATTTTGATCGTAAACACATGTTAAGCACTCGTTCATGATACTTTCACAATGTGAACATGCGCAAACTTTTCACATGTGATCACGCATATGGAAGTGTTTCAACACGAGAACAAAGTTTTCAATTGAAACAATTGGTTTCCATGAACACTAGTTAGTTTATCGTTTTTTTACGACTCAATGAAATACTTCATTTGCGAACATACAGAATCTCTTTCTTTCCATGCCTGTTCACATACATACAAGTATCCTTCTATTCACGCATATTCATACATAGAATTCGCAAAAAACAGATCATTTTCTCATTTGCAAGTGTGGATAAAATTTTCCAACGCATGTTTACATCGTGGAAACTATCAAATTGGTGTACTTTTATCTATTTTAACGTGAACTGTTTTCTTAGATGGTTTTGGGAAGTTGTTGAAGAACTACCAGTTGATAAACAACGTCGTCTACTTTTATTTGTTACTGGTAGTGATCGGATGCCAGTAGGTGGTATAAGTGAAATGACATTCAAAATTGGAAAATTAATATCAAATAAATTCAATATTAATGAATTGTAAGTGTCAATTTAATATGAAGAAAATATTTCTATTTGATATTGTTATATTTTAGACTTCCAATGTCTCACACATGTTTTAATCAATTATTATTACCACCATATCCAAGTAAAAAAATTCTTAAAGAGAAATTATTAATCGCTATTGATCACGCTGAAGGATTTGGAATAGAGTGATAAAATTTAATGTTCTGAATATTTATTTTGCTTTTTGTGATATAATAATTTTTTGATGTGCAATAAAATATTTAAATTAATACAAACTCTTTTTTTTTCTCTATTATTACGCCTAATCAAAGTATTTTCTTTATTATGATCTGATTATTATCTCTAAATTTTTTATCTCTTTTTCAGATTAATTGAAGAAAACAACAATGGTTGACGTAACAAATTTAGATTTATATGAACTATTAGATATTAAAGATGAAAAATGTACAACACGAGATTTAGTACGAGGATTTCGTCGTCAAGCATTACAATGTCATCCAGATAAATTTCCAGATGATCCAACAGCAAATGAACGTTTTTTAAAAATAAAAAAAGCATTAGAAATTTTAAGTGATCAAAAAGCACGTGATGCCTATGATTCATGTCGTTTACAAAAGAAAATACAAGAACAAAAATATCAACAAATGGATGATAAACGAAAAAAATTTAAACAAACATTGGAACAAAATGAAAAACAAGCACAACAACAAACAAATTCAACTATAAAAACACAAACTACTGATGAAAAATTTAAAATTGAAATTGAACGACTACGACGAGAAGGTAAATATAAATTTTTATATAAAAAATTATCTCAATTGATCATAATGTTTTGTTTCTTTTATAGGTAGTCAATTATTAACAGATGAATTAGAAAAATTAAATTTATTCAATCAAAAACAAATGAATAAACAAGATTATTTAAATTCAGATGGTTGTCGAATTATTATTAGATGGAATATGAAGGATTTATCAAAACAATTGTATAATGAAAAAGAATTAGAAAATGTTTTTAGTAAATATGGTTGTATTAAACATATATTTATTAAAAAATCCAGTGCCATTTTAGAATTTGAAAATGAACATGTATCACAAATAATTGAACAAGAAAAAGGTCTTGATGATTATGTACAATTTATATCGATTAGAATAATTCAGACACATAAACAAATACCAAAATCAAAATTAACAGAGACTACGAAAAAAGAAGTGAAAGCAGATTTTGAAGATTATGAAGCGACCATTCTCAAACGTTTAGCCAGTTTTCAAAATAGTCAAACAACTACAATAATATGAAAATGAGAAAAAAGAATAGTATGATATAATCAAATTCTTGAAACTAAAATTATGTGTATTACCAGAAATGTTTTTATTGATTGAAAAAAGGAGTCATTCTATAGAATCAAGTGAACAATCAGAGTGAGCTATTTTTGTTATTTTTGTTTCATTAATCTCATTCATTAATCGAATATACTCTGTTCAGTTATAAGTCACTAGATAAAGTAAACGATTAAACATATTATACTTTGAAATGTAATTTTTCTCTACATTACTAATATTAAGAATGTAGCATACTAACTCGATAATTTGGACAATGTAACAAAAATGTTGAGTATATAAAGTTTTTTTTTGTTTATATAAAAAAATGTTTCTTATTTGTTTTGAAAAATAAAATAACAATATACAATAAAAAATAAATATATGTTCTAATTTGAATAGCGAAGTACCATCACTTGTCCGGAATGTTTTATTTTGACAATGTTTGATGCTTGTAAGTAAAATGGTTCACCATCTAATTGAGCTGTCATTGATGTCTCAATTTCAATTTGTACTTGACTACATTGTGCAATACGAATACCGGAAAATCCTACATGAATGAGTCCCATATGCATTGTTGATAAACCAACAACTTCAAGCTTTTTATCACTAAAATTTTGTTCACTAAATGTTAGAGATGTAGGTGTTGCTGTTGCCGTTAATTCAGAAGAATTTTTATTCAATGGTAGTAATTTATACGATTCATTAATTGATGATAGATTGATCGATGTAGATGATATACGATCTAACGGATTAAAATCGCGAATAGTTGATAGAGAAGAATTTGGAGTAGATTGTTTACCCCATGGATTTGTGCCCGATGCATAACCAGGAATATTAAGTACGATAAGTGTATGACAATTACGTATGGAGTCTGTATAGTTTCTATTATCACATGTAAGTTTGATATATGTACTTAGATCCCATCGTTTTGATTTTGTAAAATCTCCCATATATTTTCGACTTTCATTCAAATACATGAGTTTATTTTTAAATGGACTAGAAAATTTTTCCGGTTCTCTTGTTCGTTTATCGTGAAATTCAAGTGCAATAGCTGCATCTAATCCAAAACTCATATAATTAATAAAATATGAATTTGGTAATGTTCGATGATTTAGATAAGATGGTCGATTTGTTTGACGTACAAATTTTGGATCATTATGATTGATGAGAAAATCTTGTCGATGTGTAAGATCACAAAATTCTAATTTATTCGGACGTTTATTATCAATGATAGTGGAACTAGTCATTTTTGTTGTTGTAGTTGATATTTGTGAAAATGGTTCAACGACAACATGCCAACGATCTAATGGAATCGAATGTGATTTTGGAATTTGTAATAATATTGGTAATAAACGTTTACTATCATATACATCACCCCAACCTAATACGCGAGATAAATCATTTCCTGTTCCAATAGGACAAATTCCTACTGGTGGATTATTAATACCATGATAAAAATCGACTAATGTTGCTAAAACCCATCCAATGCTTCCATCACCACCGAAAACACAAATACGAATATTTGGTAGATCAGAATAAATTTCTAGAGCATTCAATATTGTTTGATTATTCTCTAATAAAAATATTTGTCTTGGATTTAGAATTTTTAATAACTTTTTATATATTTTTTCACCCGTTTGTCCACCACTACGTCTGTTAATGAATACGAGTAAAGGTGAATCTGTGTTCGATGTTTTATCATCATTAATGGCCTTAAATCGATCGGGATATTTTCGGATGCACTGTGGACGAACAATAATATTTCTAAATAAAAGATAGATTAAATCATAAGACTGATTTTATGAGCAATAATAGAGGTGGATAGAGTTTGTACAAGGTACAAAATGAGTTTAATCTATGAATATTTACCTTAGTGTTCCATAATCACAGTCTGTTTTTAATGATTGACTTAATTTTTCAAAACATTTTTTATGATATATACGAGAACACCATACACATTTGATTCCACAAACAACATATTTTGATGTCATCGTTGTTCTTGTCGAATTTTCTACTTTATATCGTTCAACTGCTGTTGACATGGGTCGTGTAAATAGGAGATTTGTTTTTCTTTTACAAGAATTGCATGGGCTTGTTAAAAGATTTATAGGTATCCAAAAATGTTTATCGAAAGAAGATGAATCTGTTTTATTGTCAATAAATGTTAAACGACAAGATGGAATTTGTGGTGTAAAAGATAATAAGTGATGAGAATGAATGATAAATGAACATGACGCACACTGTAATAAAATCGTATTTGTAATAGTAGCAGTATTAGTATTAGTAGTGATATTATTACGATTTGGCATTGTACTAGATAAAAATGTTTCGTTAATACAATTATAATATTGACAAAAATAAGCGTTCAAGTTGTCTTTGAAACATGGATACCAGCAGTGAGAATGTGGCTGAGCACTAAAACTCCAATCAACCCCATACACAACACAATCTTTTAAAACTGTACATAAATTTTGATTTCTATTCATAATAGAATTTTCTGGCAGATTTTCATTTGATAATAATTTATGGGAGTGAGTACTAGAAGAGCAAAAATGCATGATAGATGAGAAATGTAAGAGAACAGATTTTTAGTTGAGTCGAGAAATTATCTAATTTAATATTAAAAAGAAAAGTGTACGTGTAAAAAGATTACCGTAAGTAGTTGTCTTACTAAGAATCTTAGATACTTATTAAAATTATCTAACTAAAATTGTATAAGATCTTACCTTTTAAGATTCTAATTAAATCTGAATAAGATTTGAATTTGCTCTATATAAGTAACATCGAAATTTAAATCAATTTTACGGTGTCATTTTTCTTCAACGCTTTGCTCGTCTCGAAAGTGTTCAATAACTTTTCACAGAGTGTACACTGCAAGTCAAACATCTAAAAATTCTCTTTATTTCTCAGATCTATTCAACTGCAGTTTGCACCGTAAGACAATAGACTCAAAGTAAAACTCAACAATGTAAAAGAAATTTATCAGCATTTGTATAAGATATTCAAAAATTCTTAATAAACGATGAATCAATCTTCAATAATTCTTAGTGTGATCTTAACAGATTCACATCGTATATTGTAAAATATTCGACAAAGTGTTCTAGATCTTGGTAGGATTCTATTAAATCTTCAAATTTTGAAATCTCATGATTTCAGACCCTTCTTGTAGTAGAGTCTTGTTTAGGGTGTTAGTGTACGACAGAGTTGCAGGTTAAACCTAACCTAATCTAATCTATAGGTTAGGTTAGGATTAGATTAGATTAGATTTTAATTTTTTTTCGATTTCTTTCTACTTTTGCGCAAGCGAAGACAAAAAACTCAATGACATGTATGTTTACTTTTGTCAAATATGCGTGTAACGTTCTATGGGTTGAAAACAAAAAATCATAGGATAGGTTAGGTTAGGATTAGGTTGTGAAATTTTTTATAGGTTAGGTTATAGGTTGCCAAAAAGTGGGAATCGACAGGACTCTGGTGAACAGATTCAGTTTTACTTCTAGCATCGCACTCTGATAGGTATTAAATTTAGAGTTGCTTTACAGTCTATTATAACCGCTCGAAACTAGACGTTCAATTTAATAAAGTAATGAATAATTACATTTATGTCGATCTATTATTGGAGATTTTAAATTGAGATAGAGAATTCAATATGTAGAGTAGTAAAGATACTTTTAAAATTTTATCGCAATCTTTGTTTACTTTTTTTCATTTATAATCTTTTGACATGTTGATTCATTGGAATATGACGATAACGTTGTTTGATCATCCTCATTGCTATTTGTCTTTTCTAAGATACAATTACACGAATGAAATATATTTTTTTGCTCAATTAATTTCTTGGACATTAAGACATCATGCTTGTCGAGTGTTGTTGATAGTGAACAGGACGTAGCAGTTATTGATTCACATTGAATATCGTCTCCTAAGTCTAACGATTTATAATCCTGCCGAAGCGTTTGTTTATGTCGTTCTTGTTTCCTTTCATTCATCAATTCATATTTTGTTAATGTTATCGAAAAATGTTGTAGTATTTATATTCGTCGTTTTGAATCCCGAAAGATTTGTTGTATCATAAATAGTATATTGTAATTTTGAGTTCTTTTTTTATTGATGATAAGATGACAAGAGAAACTGTTGACTTGAGAGGCAACATAGACGACGAGTGTTGAATAGAAGAATCATTTATCCCACGAATTGCTGTTATTGTATTTGTTTTTGTTGCTGTTGTTCTATGAATGTCAGCTGAAATTGAAAGATTATTTACATTTAGAAACATCATTTTATATGTCATCATCACCATTTTTTATAGATTTCGGCTGTTATTTTCTATTATTATAATTTGATATGATGGTTAATTTTTTCCTGTCAGTTTTTAGTCACGTCGAAAAGTAGAAAAGAAAAAATCTGACATTTTTTTTCCTGCTGATGTCTAGTTTCAGCTGCTTTAATCGCTTTATATGTGGACGATTTGGCTAAAATGTACAATTCATCTAATTTTAGCTAAACGTTAATCGGTTCACAAAAAATAAAGTAGTTCGATTTTCTCCTGCTAGAACTTTACTAACATTGCATACCTTTACCGAGAGCATTCTGTAGTACACACCCCTCGGACGATGAATGGGGCACTTAAAGTATCAGAGAATCGAACATTTTTTCCGATGAGACACATTTTTGTGCTTGAAGTGCCCTGAGCGGGGCGTCCCATTAATCGTCCATCAAAGTGCCTCTTTTTAGCTGACGGGGCACTTATTTTTTTGAGAGTGTAGGATACGTGATATCATCATGGTACGCAATATGCTTTATAAGAAAATAAAATAAGATAAATTTCGGCTGATGACAGGAGGATACTTGTTCAACGTACCACATCTGCTCTCTCGTTTTTGCACTTTTTTTAATTTTTTATATATGTGAACTAGATAAGAAGTTGAATGTCTCTTACTCTCTCTCTTTCCGTCAATTTATTATTTGACTTGAACGATTATGATATGCCATTATGATATGTGTGTGTAATCTCATTTTAATACATATGTGTAGCAAATAGCTGACTTATTTATTAGTTAAACTTTTAAATAACGATATATTTTTCTTCTATATATGTATATACATATTTATATATGCGAATAATAGAGAAAAAAAGAAGAAAAGATTACTGGCTCAGTCTCTATTATTTATTATTATTATTACTATTGTCACTTTTATTAAAATGAATAAATAATCCTGACATATCTATATTTCTTTCATTTTTCTGCTTGGAATTTCTATTGTAATTAGAGCACGTGACCGATATCTATCAATATGACACAATAGTGATGATATTATAGAGCATATTGCAAATGTTGCATATCCATACATACCGCTATTAAAGTAGAGAGGATAAAAGAAGCAAATATGACGATAAAGCAAAGTCACAGTTTCCCACTTGCCTGTTTAAACATGTTATCAGTTGAAAAAGAAAAACAAGTTGTCGTTCTGTTTTGATACTTTTTTTTATAGAGTGTAAATATTAATATGTGTATGCCATTTATCATTATACATATTTTGTATATTTTATTTTTGCTTGTACTCGATTTTTCTTTTTTCTTTTCAGTTTTTCGTATTTTGAAACGTTTTTACTATAACAAAAGCCTTTCGGTTCCTCCTTTTTGTGCAGAATTAAATTAACAAAACCGTTAAACTCAGAAAGTCTGATAAATTTTCAATACATATTTCTGCGAAAAATACCACAAGGATACGCAGATCTTGACAATGGAAATTATTGATTATATAGACCGCTTCTACTTTTGCTTGATTGATTTCTCAAGTTTTTATCCTTTTACAGTGGCACAACTAAGGGAAGACCATTGGACCATGGTCCAACGCAATCTGAGTCTCGGACCAACAGAAAATATTTTTAGTATATCTGATCCAACACTTTTTTTGATTACCGATTCTGAACGAGGTTCGTCATGAATAAGGGATGATATGAAAGCGCGATGTGAATCCAGAGTAAATTATCATGTGCTTATTCTGCTTTTCTTGACGAAGAACGGTCAAAGATTAAAGGTTTATTTAATCTGTTTTTATGCAGAATTCAATTCTTTATCAGACATTAAATAAATTTTGTTTTACAATCGCTTTTTGGTTACAAAAAAACCTCAAGTCTTTGGTCCTTACTACGCGCGCAGTCTTCGAGGCTGCCTTTCTGTAACTTTTCTCTCAACATAGTTGAGAATATATACGTCAGACGTCAACGATTTATTTCGGTGATTTGATCTTCAGTGGCGGTCATCCATCCACTTACTAAGCGTCGTCCTGACGCTTAACCAGAGAGAAGGCAAAACCATTGTCACAATTTTCTAGAAGATCACGCGAGTTTAGTGCGGTTAAAGAAAAAAATGACTCAAGTTTATTTATTCCAAACAAGTGAGTTTAAAATATCAAAAGTCATTTTGTTAGACACATTATGAACAATTTCCGGATTGAAGAAAAATACATTTTTTTCCGAAAAATGTAAATTTTAAAACAAATTTTTAGTAAAGAAATTTGTGTTTTATTAACACCCTATTTTTGGGGATCAACATTTTTCAGTATAAGACTTATAAAGTTCCATAGATTAACTAAACCTTAAGCCTTTGACCGTTTTTCGTGTGAAACACTGATACGCAGTGTCAAAATGTGATGAACGGGATAGAATTAGGGAAACATCAGCTTGAAGACTAAAAACTAAGTATAGGACAATGTCTGTTCTGTGCAACCATATATAAAAGTCCTTCAGTCAAAACTTTTCTTAGTTGCCGATGATCTTTGTGACCTATTTTGACGATCATTACTTGTTTCTCCTGTCAGGAGTAGCATCCGTGAGTTTGCCTTACGTCGAAGCAACTAGTTAAACAAACTAATTATTGACAGACTGATATCTACTTTTCATTCAAACCAGAAAACAGCTGTCCGTTCTTTCTATTATTGGTTCAGTAATTTTGAATTTTTCTCCATTTTGTTCTCGAACACAAATTTTAGTTATCTGTCCGCTCAATCCTGATTAGAAGTTTTCATTATTTTTTCTATAAAATAATTCTCTCACAGAAGATACACAGTTCTACTCAGCTCCACAATGTAGAACAATACGAGAAAGTACGGAAGCCAACATATAGTGAAATCGATCTCCACGAGATTTTAACGTAGAATGATCAATCGAGTTGAGCAAGAGCTTAACCCATATTTCTTGATTACCTTAAAAGAAGCTACTACGTTCTTATTTTCATTTTTTTGCAATCAGCAAGGCTTCGAACACAAATAGTTCTTGATGGAGTCGATAGTGCTCGAACAGCTCTTCAAAACTGTGTTAACGAAAAGATGAAAAAGGCTTGCGGATAAAACTGAGAAAAACCAGCGAAAAACAGCAGCATTTTGTCATTTTCACATCAAAAAGCACTTTTCACAAAACCAAAACGTCCTTTGTATGCTTCAACAAACTTACGCATTGTTGCTCAAATATTTTGTGTGTCTCGATTTTTCGGTCTTTTTGTCAGCGAAAAAGAGTAGCAAAAACGCCAGTATCAGAAATGGTAACAGTCTAACAAATTTCCGGCCCGAGCAGCAAGTCTTCAATCGACCTGGCTCCATTGATTTTTTTAACTCTATGGGGAATGGCCCAAAAGTCTAAACATCCTAGTTGCGTCCCTTTCATTTCGAGATATCCTGCACACGATCTTGAAAGTCCTTTCGAAATACGTAAGTTAAAACAAAGACGTCCACTACATGAAATACAACGAGGATCTGTTTTTACTCGCGCGTCTGATTATTTTTTTAATGTGAGATAAAGACTCTTACTGGTAGTTAATTATACCTACATGGCAAGAAAAAAAGCGCCCACTAGAAAACGATGGATACAGTAGAGGATCCCCTACGATAGAAGATCCTTCCTGTTACAAGACCCCTCCTGAACTCATAACGCAAAAACCACGTTAGAAGACCCCTTATTTTATCGATTTTTTGACTTAAAATATGTTGATTTTGGGGTTCAATCAAACGTTAATCTTTGCGTTCGTCTTTTTCCTCAGCTGTACCCAGGTCGAATTCACCCGATCGAATCCTGCCGGATCCTTTTAATTCCGGTGATTTCCGGAGATCGGAAGCTGCTCAAGTCCTTCGCGTTCCGCTATTTTTTTCCTGGAGGATCCGGAGATCGGATTCGATATCCGAAACCAGGCAGATCCGTTAATTTCCGGTGACCGGAAATCGACGGATCTTGTGATGTGCACTTTATTTTTTTTCTTTCTTTTCTGTGCGCATAATATATTCACCGTTTTGTTTCACGACAGGCACTTTAAATACGACACTACAGAAAATGAAAAATGAGAAGTTGTTCTTCTCAAATTCTTAACAGTGTGAGTCATCGCTCACACTGTTCAACGGACGTGTTGTACATGTCCTAGCTAGTGGGCCCCTCCACTCTCTCGAATGAACAGAGAGAAGAACCACCAGAAAATGAAAGAAAAAATTTAAGACTATTTTTAACCTTAAAATTGATCACATTCTGCCAAATCCGATTCATTGGCCGGAAGGTCCCGGAATATGCCGGAAGATGTTGAATCCGGCCGGAACTTTTCCGACATCTTTCGGCACGGATTTCGAGCAACGGATTTCCGGCATAATCCTGTATGGTTGCTGCCGGATTTTATCGAATTCTGACAACTTCCGGCATGTTCCGATGTTGGATCCAGCAGCTTTCGTCAGGATCCTAACGCCGGAATGGACGACCTGGACTAGAGTGAATATACAATTGCTAGACAAAAAGAAGAGTGTGCGTATACAGCTTTGTACACAGTGCCAGCTCTCGATCAAGCGATTCCAACTCAAAATCGACTTTTTTTAAGAACGCTTTAGAAGACCCCCTTCAAAGTTATGAGCACTAGGACGCGATATAAGACCCGGGTCCTCTATTTTTTAAGTGTTATAAGTCTAAATTTTTCTAGTATTTTCGTTCTCCGCTGTTTTAACTAGTATGTAT